TAGCGGATGTTATGGCCCATAGTCATCTACATTTATTCTCAATTAATGCATGCATTGTCGTCCTTGAGGACTAAAAATGGTTTCCGGTTCTCTACACTCACCATACGAAACACAACATCGTTAAGCTGATATTTCATGCTGGTATTCTGTGAGAGCGTAGTCCTTCCCCGGTTGAGCCGACCCATCTTTGCTACAGCCGTAATATAGCTGCACCGTGGCTCTACTACAACGCGCTACATATAGATAAGTACTGATGCACAATATACAAAGTTTTGTTATATTTAGATTTTCTAACAAACACTTTACATAGTGCGATACGACTCAGGACGAATAACATATTACTTTAAAAATATTATAAATATATTACTTTCTGTAAGGAATATTGAATCTAAAGCGTCAGTTTACTTTCATTGAAGTAATATTCAACTTTATTTCAATGAAGCTATCTCTCGTTTTATTTAAAACTTGCTGACCCCCCGCGACTTTGCTCGCGTGGAATTTATTGCAGTTGGATTTCGTGAGTTTTAATTATTTTGCGCGGAACCCTAATTCTTTTTCTAAAATAGAAGTAGCCTAAGTTACTCCATATAACATCCAATATTCACCAGTGAAAGGCCCATCAAAACAGCCCTTTCGGAGATTAGCCGAAACAAACAGACAGAGAGACACACAAAAATTTTATAAATGTTTTTTTATAATTAGTACCGTTATACTTTTGTTTCAATTAATTAATTATTTTTTTCAATTAATTAGTTAATTGAGCAAGTGGATGAGTTTGTGTATTTTGGATGTGTATTTAGCAGGGGTTGTAGATATGATAGGGATATAGAACGACGAGTAAATGCAGTGAATAGAGTGAATGGCACTACACTCTGTTATGAAGACAGAAAGTGTAAAAAGGCGTATGGATTCATAATGCTGTGTTAGTCCCTACTTTATTGTATGGTAGTGAAAGTTGGGTGTGGCAGAAGAAGCACGAAAGTGGAATAAATGCTGTAGAAATGCGGTCTTTAAGGAGTATGCTAGGGTTGAATCTGAATGACAGGGTGAGAAATTGCGTTGATAAGAGATAAATGTGGTATGCAAGATGATGTTGTGACCAGGATTAAGAAAGGAATGCTTCGGTGGTTTGGTCATGTAGAAAGAATGAATGAGGAAAGAGTGACAAAGCAAATTTATATGGCAGATGTGAATGGCAGAGTCTGGAAGGGACGCCCTTACCTGTTATTTTGAGATTACAAACAGACACTTCAGTTATATTTACTTGTATAGATGTATCGATAAGTATAATGTCTAAATAAGTCTACAGCAGCCTTTTTAACGTTTTAACGTAATCTTAGTGCTTTATCTGTGCTTTTAAGTACCTCATGAATGCAAGTGATCGAAACAAAAATAAAAATCGATTCTATGTGATTATAATAAAAAGGCGAGAATCGTAATAAAGCGAGTCGCTTTAATCACTAAATGCTACCACTTATTTTAGTGATTCTAAAGCATTCTTCTATTTTAGTTTCCGAGATACAAAGGTAATAAATTGACGTAAACCCCTTATTTTAGATTTAACACTAATTTTCCATAACGTAAAATGTATTTATTGGTGTTAAATAATTTATTTACTTATTTTTGATGTAAATGTATAGAATTCATTGAATTTTAATTATTTTGTGTTTTAGTTTAAACTACAGTAAAAAGAGAGATAAAGGTAAAATAACATATGTTAAAATTTGTCACATTATAGTCAATTACATGTATGAATATAACTTAAATCTATAATAAATATTTTACTCATAACTTTTTCATACAAATTCTTATTTTATTTTATTTTATTTTATTTATTTTATAGGACAGGGGACAAACGAGCTTGCAGCTCACCTGATGGTAAGTAGTTACCGCCACCCATGAACAACTGCAACACCAGGGCAATTGCAGGTGCTTTTCTTGAATGTCCTTAAGTCGTATCAATCCGGAAAAATCTACGGTGGTAGTCGATTCCACAAGAAAGTTGTGCAAAGAAGAAAACTTCTTTTAAATCGCACCGTGGTGGACCGCCAGACATCCAGATGGTATGGATGGTATCGCGAGTTTTGTCGCGATGTGCGTGTGCGATGTGCACTATTGTTTAAAATAAATTTTTATATTTCAATGTATTTTAGCGATTATATATATATAAAAAACAGTCTTAATTTGACAAAAAACCGACTCGTTTTTTCAAAATAATGTGAAATACAGTTTACTGACAGTTACAATGTAATTTTATTCCGGGATAATAAAAACGTACACGCCGGTGGAAGCTTACGAATTCCGAACCATGTCCCTTAGGGGAAGAATGGGATTTCCATCCTAGTATAAAACAAGCCATCTCCATTGATATACTTTATTTAAAGATATAATTTTATAATAATATTTTTAGTAAATTATTAAAGACAACAGATGTCAAACATCACAATAAGTAATACGACTTAATTAAAATTACATTTGTCCAATAAATCACCGGCCAGTACGATCTTGGATAGAATAAATACGATCTCATCAACTTTTTTATTTAGTAGTGCAAAAAGAGAGCAAAGTAATGACCACTTGCATTGAGTTACACAACACTAGAGGAGCAAACCACATTACCGCGTGTCGAAAAAAGTGTAACCACTATCCAAACACGACGGCGTAGCTTTGAAACTAATAACAATTTTAAATAAACATATATCTATCTCACCTACATAAGTTGCGAAAACAATATCGTCGCTAAGATTAGATAAAGATAGACACACAAATATGCAATGGCGGGTTGGTGTCGCTTACTATATGAAAATTTACCTAAAGTAGGCAATAAAAATGAGTTTTTTTAAGCTGCAGTTAATTGTTTTTATATTAAAAAAGTATATTTTATTTTAAAATCTTTATTGCGTCCCCTTAGAAAAAAAAGAATACAAAGCTCATCAGATGAATAGAAGTAAACATAATGATGAAATAAAACGTATTTTTATTGTACTAATAAATCAAACAATATAAAATAGGTAATAAAATATAATTAATATAAAATTTATATGAAATTATAATTAATATAAAATTATTATTATAAAATAGGTAATACGAGGGTGGCACTGAAAATTTCGGGAATCAAGGAAGTGACACAACATTACTATTTAAAAATGTATTTATTGGTTTTCTAAGTATTCTCCGCAAAATTTGACACGTTTTTCCATACGATGGAACCGATCATTGAAGCAACCATTCAATTCGGAATTTGGGGTCTCCAAAATGGCCGTTTTGTATGAATCCACGGCATCTTCAGGTGATGAAAATCTCTGTCCAACGCAATTTATTCTTAATTTTAGGGAAAGTATAGAAATCATTAGGGCTTAGGTCGGGGCTGTACGGCGGATGGTCTAATAATTCTATGTTTTCTTGTTCTAAAAACTCCTTCGTTCTGTGTGCGGTGTGAGAACTCGCATTGTCATGATGGAGGATGATGCGGTGGTTGCAGTTCTCTTTACGGAGTTCAGAAACGACCTGTGGCAAACAAATGATAGTATAACATTCTGCATTAACCGTTCTTTGTTTTGGAGACAAATGTTGCCACCATTTTTTTTGCAACACTCTGTGAACGAACAATTTTTGTTGGCTTTAACTCATTTTCGAACATCTAAACTCGTGACTGGTTTTTGTTTGGGTTCGTACGCGTATATCCAGGATTCGTCACCTGATACGATGTTGTATACAGCATTTGAGGATCCTACGTGGAATCTTTCGAGAGTTCTGACGCACCAAGTAACGCGAGCCGCTTTTTTGCTCTTCAAAGAGCGAATGCGGTATCCATCGGGAAAACAAATTTTTTACACCTAATTGTTCATGCAAGATTATTTGTATTTGACTCATGCCAATGTCTTAAGTTGCCTGAATTTCGCGGTATGTCACATGTCGTTCTTCCTCAATCAGCTTACGCACAGCATCAACGTTTTCTTGGGTGACTGCAGTTTATGGACAACCTTGACGGGGATTATCACTGAGGTTGACACGTCCACGTTGAAATTCAGCAAACCAGCGATAAATTGTGGTTTTGTATGGGGCTTCATCACCAAATGCAGAAATCATCCGGTCAACACACTGTTTTTGTGTTAAACCACTTCGAAAGTCATAATAAATCATCGCTCTTGAATTTTCTCGAGTCAATTCCATTTTCTCAACGACTAAACAAGTTTGACAAAACCTTGTGACAAGACCGAGAATCTTTTTTTTAAATAAATAAATGGTATTCGATTTTTAAAACCAAGGAGTTTTCAATTAAAAAGATTTTAATATGACAGGAACAGTGGAAATATTCCATTTCCGATACTTTTAGTGCAGCCTAGGTAAAATATATTTAATAGATAATCCATGAATAAACTAAAATAAGAATAATTAATTATTTTGTATGAATGTTAAACTAGTTTTTATTATAATTTATAGGTAACTATATATTAATAAAATTAACTTACTCCATTAATTATACAGTCTCCCATTAATGTAGGTTAATCACAAATCCGGAAAAGTTGCAACATTGAAAGTAAAGGCAATATTCGATAATTTTATTTAATTGAGGAGGTTCTGGCGGGAAGTCAAGTTAAGCGGGTGTTTTAATTCTTGCTGAATTTTCATTTCATTTTATTTTGTATATATCTTGTAAATTTCCGTGTAAATAGTTAATTAGTACATACCTATATATACTGTAAATACAATGGATCCAGATTCCGACGGGGGCCCGACCCCCGCTGAGCAAAAATCAAAGAAAAGGAAATTGCCCGATACTCGCAAAGGAAATGCCGTCGACTACAAAATTTTCACAAAAACAAATTACACGCGACAATTCCCAGAAAACCACAGCGTAGACTGCGTAGTCTACGTTGAATCACAAGAAAACGAAAAAATTGGTAACAAAAAATCCAATAACACTTACAAAGTTATTTACGGAAAATGTAAAAGGAATCGCTGGCGTCCACAGAGTGAACGCATATAAAGTGGGCATAATGTTCAGAAAACTAGCACCGGCCAATAACTTCCTTACCATGACACACTTTCTGGGAAAACACAAATTAAAAGCGTTTGTGCCTGCGCACCTCACTGAAATTACTGGAGTCATAAGATACGTACCTAAAGACTTAAGCAATGAAGACATATACAAAAGCATTACCTGCGATGCAGAAGTCATCTCCGTCAAGAGATTTATGCGAAAGGTAGATGGAAAGCTCACTCCGCTGGGGACCATTGCAGTGACCTTCACTGCGACAGCGCTGCTGCAGCATGCCTACATACAGATGTTCAGATACCCGGTCCACATATACATCCCTCCATTACTACAGTGCTACAAATGCCTGAAGTTTAATCACTCTGCGAAAGTCTGCCGAGGTTCTCAAATGTGTTCTTCGTGTTCCGGACAACACTCCTACAAAGAATGTGACGTCGAAAAAATTGTGTGCATAAACTGTCAAGGTGGTCACTTAGCCATCTCTAGGGACTGTCCAGTAAAGCAACAAAAGATGGAAGAGAAGAAGAATAAGTATTTAAAACCAAACCGATCGTATGCCGCTGTGGTGAGTATCCCAGCAATGCCCGACCCGAGAGCATTCCCAAACCTTAAACCTGTAAAGACTATTGATACTGACATAAATAAAGTACCATATAATGCTGAGCAAATACTAAACAACGAGTTAATTATTAATGCGCTAGTCAAATCATTAGTTATGCTTGGCAATGACAAGAGCAGCGCTCCGATTACAAATAAAAGAATTAAAGACATACTTTTAAGTAATTTAATACCATAATGGATACATATTTGAATATAGCACAATATAACATACAGAGCTTACAGAACAAAAGGGCCTTACTTAAAAAATTTCTTTCAGAACAACATATAGATATCTGTCTTTTAAATGAAACCTGGCTTAAAACAACTAGTACAATTTCCGATTTTTCACCCTATAATTTTATACACAAAAACTCAATAAATGAACATAATGGAGTAGGTATATTAATTAAACAAAACTTAAAATACACTATTGTAAATACAACTTTTTTCGAATCTGTGCAAAATATTTGCATTTCCGTAGACACAACTATGGGTAAGTTACATATTCTATGTGTATATTGTCCTCCCAATAGCAGCAGGTTTACTACTAGCAAAATGAAAAAGGTGCTACTTGAAACTCCTAAGCCATGTCTTATTATGGGAGATTTTAATGCGCACCATATCCTGTTTGGATGTCAGACAAATAATAATAGAGGTAACAGTTTATATGCACTTATTGATGACTTTGACTTGTGTATTCTGAATGATGGTGACACAGCTACAACTGTCCAGTATCCTAACAGAAATCAGTCGGCAATAGATTTAGCTCTGGTTAGTTCTGCGTTAACTCCTCTTTGTGAATGGCACGTCCACGACGACCCGATGGGCAGTTACCACTACCCAACTGTGGTTGCTCTAAATGTGAAGCCTTCTATATATGAAGTGCGTCCTGTGGAAGAAAAATACATTTATAATAAAGCAGATTGGTCTAAATATCAAGAACTATCAGAAACGAGATTTTGTAATTTAGAAATACATGGTACAGAACCTATTGATTTGTATAATAATTTTGTAAATATTTTGTATGATATTAGAGCAGAGACTGTTCCAAAGCAAACACCACAACAAACTTTAAAGGTAATGAGAAAACCTGCACCCTGGTGGAACCAAACATGTGATGATGTTGTTCGAAAGTCTAAGGAGGCCCTCAAAGAGTATAGAAAATCGCCTAGTATTCCTAATTTCATTAACTACAAAAAACTTGATGCTCAAAAGAAAAGGATATTAAAAGAAGAAAGTATTAATTCATGGCACAATTTATGTACTAGTTTTAATAGAATGACACCTATTTCTCGAATATGGAACTACATGAAAAGGTTTAGAAGGATAGGTTCTTCTCATAACAGATATTTGGCTGACGATTGGATACCAAGCTTCTTAGACAACATAACAGACTCATCGCAGTTGAATGAAGATTATTTGAATGATATTTTAGATCAATCTGTTGAAAATGAAAGTAACTCGTTTCTCAATAGACCATTCACACTAAATGAATTGTACATAGCACTCAAAAGTAGGAAAGATACAACACCAGGGTTGGACAGCATACCATATATATTAATAAAAAAAATTACATCCTAATGCACAAGAAATGTTATTAAATATTTATAATAAACTTTGGAATAATTTAGCTATACCAGAATCATGGAAAACCCAATGCGTAATCCCCATTTTAAAGCCAAATAAAGCTGCTAATGATCCATCATCATACAGACCTATTTCTTTGTCGTCATGTTTAGGTAAGCTTTTTGAAAACATGTTAAAGTTGCGTCTAGATTATTTTGCTGAAACACAGGATAAACTACCTCACATACAATTTGGATTCAGAAAAGGCAGAAGTTGCTCTGAAAGCTTTGTATCTCTGATATCGGAACTTAAAAAAGGCCAAACTTAGCCATTCTAATGTTATATGTGTATTTTTAGATGTTAAAGGTGCCTTTGACAATGTTAATATTGAATGCCTCATAAAAGTTTTGCATGAATTGGGCTTGCCAAGAAATGTATTAATCTGGATTTTAAATTTCTTGCATGATAGGACTCTTTTTGTTAAATTTAACAATAAACTACATGGACCTAGGCCTGTTAACAAAGGAACAATGCAGGGAGCGACACTTTCACTTTTGTTGTATAATTTATACACATCTCAGATACTTAATTATGTAGATACATCACAAGTTAAAATATTACAGTTTGCAGATGACATACTTTTATACAGTGAAAACCAGAATATAAATACAGCAATTAATAGAATTAATACTGCATTGGCACAATTGCATCATTATTATAGCAACATTTTAAAATTAGAAATAAGTTCTGAGAAAAGTAAAGTTTTAGTATTCAGTAAAGACACATTTGTAAACTCTGGAATTAAAATTAACTATAATAATGATGCAATTCCTATAGCCAATCATCATAAATTTTTAGGAGTTGTGCTAGATGATAAACTGAAATTTGATAAGCATATCAACTATATCTGTCAGAATGCCATGAAGAGCATAAATGTACTAAGAAGCTTAGCAGGAACCTTTTGGGGGTCTGATCCAAAAACACTTAGCATGCTGTATAAAAGTATTGTAAGGAGTCACTTTGACTATAGCTCTCTAGCTTACATGAATATTAGTAGCACATTGTTAAGAAAATTGGATGTGATACAGAATATGGGTCTGAGAATAATCAGTGGAGCCATGCGCACCACTCCTATTGTTTCTACGGAAGTTGAAAATTGCATACCTCCATTGTCCTTGCGGCGTTTGCAGTTGGCTGAAAGATTCTGTTTGAAGGAGTTGTCTTGTAGCAATAATATTGTCCTAAGTAATGTTTTATATCCTGCAGAAGTCTCCCAGTTATTTGGAACAGCCAACATCTCAGCTAATACTCTTATTTCGGGTACATTGCCTGAATTAACAACAATAACAACTTGTGTAAAAAATCAGACAGGAGATATGTACATCAGTAACAAGTGGCCTGTTTACAAATGCCCATATGATACATTACTTAATTATCTTGATATAAAATGTCATTTAGATTCGGTTAGTACTAAGAATGAATTCTTAGAATTTTTAAATGAAAAGAAAGACTTCTACACTATATATACTGATGGCTCCAAGAGTGATCTTGTTAAAGCAGCATTTTATGACTCACAAATGAAAGTTATTAAATGTATGAAGTTGCCAAGTAATTGTAGTATTTTTACAGCAGAAAGTTGGGCTATATTAGCTGCTTTGTCATATGTAAATAGCAATGTAAATAGTGTAAATATCTTGATAGTTAGTGATTCTAAAAGTGTTTTATCTGCTTTATGTAACTGTAATTTAGTATATAAACAGAATTATATTTTGTATAAAATTAAGGATAAGCTGCAAACGATTGGAAAATGTATAGAATTCTTATGGGTTCCCTCACACAGTGGCATTGTCGGAAATGAGATAGTGGATCAGGCGACGCGGCAAGATCACCACGAAGACCAAACACAAGATTGTAAAGTCCCCTTCACAGATTATTATCAACACTTTAAAATCTTGTCAAAGAAACTGTGGAAGGATTACTGGAACATTACTACCGTGAATAAGGGAAAATGGTACGCAGAATTACAGCCAGACTTACCAACGATTCCGTGGTACAACCGCCTTAAATACACAGGCCGAAAGTTCATAACGATCATTAACCGCTTGCGGTTTGGCCATTGCCTCGTCCCTGCACATCTGTACAGAATGAAGATCGTAGCTGATGACAAATGCGCACATTGCGCTCAACATAATGCAGACATAAACCACATAATTTTCCAGTGCCCATCGTTTGGGATTCAAAGGTTGACACTTGTCAGTGAAATTAGTGATGTCGCTGAAGAAAATTCTATAAGTGTTCCCCGCCGCGTTCAGGATCTATTAACTGATGTAGTTTTTTTCATGCCTATATTTAAATTTATACTTAATACTGTAGGAAAACTTTAATTATTTATGTGTCCTTAGTTAATTGATAATGTTTGTAAATAGCTTCTTAATTTATTTTGTAATTTAGTCTGTTCTATATTTATATAATAGGAAAAAAAAGTAGAAAAATGATGGAAAACCATTCTAAATTGTTATTGCTAAAGTTAAATATTCTTAATTTGATGTATGATTTGTGTTATAAGTACTGTAATGTTTTCGACTGAAGGTCCTCGCAACCATGGTCACGAATAAATTTAAAAAAAAAATTATTTAATTGAGGTTTTTTTACGTTTATATGAAAGCAAGAACTAAAGAATGTGTGTTGAAAGTGATTCCGCTTGATTTATTACGTTTTTGTGACCTTGATTAGCATTCTTTCACTACGCGTTTACCCATTTTTTGTCACGGCTCAACTCTATCGGCGTCACATTGAACACTGAACTGAGTTAGTTAGGCATATGGCTGTGGCCATATGTGCAGTCGCAACGCTTTGGTGCGGTTATTACTGATCTAGTGTAATATATAAATCAATGACCACTTGACATTTCTTTTTCCACGCACGAATTATACGCAACATCTTTGAATATATTCGTCACCTTTTGAATCATTTAAAAATTAATATTAGAAAAAGCAGGACAAGTATATTGACTCAACTTATGTATAATTGTAGGTTCTGTCTATGCATACGTATGTATTTAATTACTCTAAGCTCACCTTGTCCCGCGCGCCCCGCACTGCCGCAGATGACACACAGATTTTGTTCGCGTCGTCCATTCTAGTTACTTCAATGAGAAAGAAGTACGTGATCTATATCGACGAAAGCAAATTAAGCTCTTAATTCATTAAATTATTTAAGCATAGGTGGATATTTAAACTGATTTGCGACACGGGTAAAATTAAATCAATAATCCTATTTTTGGATGTTATATTTTAAAATTTCGTTGAACCATTTCTTTTAATCCCCTGCAGTTTCAAAATGAGGCCCTTCTGAAAAGTAACTGTAAAATCATGGACGTAAATACGGATGCATTGTTGCACTAAAAATGTGTGAAGCAATCTAGGTTCTATAATTTTGTTTGTCACACGCGAGATTCACGCACACGAATGATAATCATCGCTAGCATGCAGCACACGTCAGCGTTAGGGCTTACTGTCCTTTGACTTTTATTCTAGATTTACGCAGAACGAGCTTATAGTGGATTGATCTCTGACAGAGGTCTGCTTGGGTATGTATTTAATTGTATTGGCTAGGAATGAGCGTCAATAA